TTTCTCGTCCTGCCTTCAGGCGCTTTGGAGAATAGCTTGACTCCCTCTTCTTTGGGGCAGCCCCTGAGATATTGGAATGCTGCTATCATGACCCCCTCATCCTTCTCTTCATTAAACTAGACATACCCAATTCCAGCAACCGTTCCTTATATGTTTTAGCCTCCAGTCCCCTGATCATCTCTGTTGCTCTTCTCTGGACTCTTTCTAGAGTCTCAGCATTTTTTTTACATCATGGTGACCAAAACTGGATGCAGTAACTATCGGTGTCTGAGTGTAAAGAAACAAAATGCGCATTTCAAACACGGAGTCTTTTTATTTTTTTGTTGCAGAATATGGTTGGGGCCGGGGAAGTTGACGAAGACCTGGAAGGCGAAACCAAAGAAGAATGTGAAAAATACGGCAAAGTTGGAAAGTGTGTGATTTTTGAGGTACCGACTGGCGTCCTTTTTCTCCAACAATTTTTTTTTTTTTTTAAAGGCAGATTTAAAATATGTACATGCGGAAAATACAGTAGTGGCCAAAATTGCGGAAACCTTTTGGGAAAAGTGTATTTTTGAGTTTTGATGGCCAATAACACCACTTTTTTTTGGAGTAGTACCATAAAATTATATATATCAATGGAAAGATAATTTAATCAAGAATGTAATGCAACAAAGTTTGTTCAATTATCTGTACTGTATTCTATGAAAAGTGATAGCCAAATAACCAGAAAAAGGAAGCACAACTTGCTTAAGTTGATCTCAGGTAGCTTTCCTTCATCTGATTGTAGCCAATAAGCAGGAGTGTTTAGAGAGCCAATCAGGTGTCATCTTATTTTGGCAATAAGCCAATCAAATCACAGTAGGATTCAGTTCTCGATGTCATGTATTGAAGCTGAGAGGAGGACATTTGTCAGTGTGTTATGTAATGGTTATCAAGTTGGTTGGGGTTTTTTTGTGTTCTTTCATTTAGTGAGCTTGTGAAACATAATAAAATTAAAGTAATGGTGCAAAGATCTGACTGGTTGCCCAGAAAGCGATGTAAAATAGTATTATAAAGTGAACACGGCTACGGTTGTAAAGAAAGTAGAAGAAAAATGGGTGGAAACTTAACCAAAGGTGGCATTTCTACTGTACACTTTTCCCAAAAGGTTTCCATAATTTTGGCCACTACTGTAGATTTAAAAGCAGACCTTTGAATGGAGGCTACAGGCTACGAAAATGGGACGGAAAGAGGAAAGAATGCTGGGAGTTGAAGCCCACTCGTCTTAAAGTGGCCAAATTTGAAAAAGCGCCGTTCTAGAGCTGGATCATACTATATTTTATATTGTACTGTAAAGGCCCTGATCTTTGCTGTTTTTTTAATTATTATTATTATTAAGATTCCTGGCACTCCTGATGATGAAGCCGTGAGAATATTTTTGGAATTTGAAAGAGTAGAATCTGCAATTAAAGGTAAATAATCCAATGATCACTACTTCCTGTAAATTTCAGAAGTTGCACAGATAATCCTCGACTTAACGACAGTTCGTTTAGTGAACTGGCACAGAAAAAAAAAGTGACTGATGACCCCGTTCTTCACAGTTATGACCTCAATTGTGGTCGTAAGTAGAGGACTACCTGTATTCGATTCCACAGATGGGAACGGATATACATACATACATACATACATACATACATACATACATACATACATACATACATACATACATACACACACACACATACACACACACATACATACATACATACATACATACATACATACATATATGTTTTTCAAAATTTGGATTGCTAACAAAGAATTAAGGGAGAACTGGAATAGCCATTTCGAACTTTTTAGTTCTTTTCAACCAGACATACCCTTCTGAGATTCGAACCTGGGCTGTCTGCATGTTAGACATACATATATATACATACATACATAAATTTATATTATTTTCCTGGGTTTCAGCGGTGGTTGACCTGAACGGAAGGTATTTCGGAGGACGAGTGGTGAAGGCCTGTTTCTACAACCTGGACAAATTCCGAGTCTTGGACCTCGCGGAACAAGTCTGATTCTTTGGTCTGGAAGCCAAATCCGGACACATCACCACCTGGCGATCTTAACCGTTTTCGGCTGCCTGTTGAGAGCCGAGGAAGAGGCGAGGTGGCATCCTTTCTAGCAATCTGGAAATAATTCTGGAATGGCCTTTCCTGATTCGTTGTGATGGACAGACTTTATTTGTATTTTTATTGTAGCATAAAATTCCTTAAAGATGCCTGGTTTATTTTATTTATTTTTTTCTTTTTAAGATTTTAGCCTTTCTTGGTTATTCCGTAATCCATGGGTTCTCCAACCTTTCCAGGCTCACGGCCCGGAGGGGAGAGCAGCTTCCAAATTACTGTGTGCGCGTGTGCATGCACGCAAATGGGGCCACGCCCACTGGTGTAGTACTAGCGGCCGCGTTCTTGCATGCGGCATGCATTGGTGCCATGCACATGCACAAACGGCTGCACATCCCCCGTGGCAGCTAGCAGCCCATTCGCACATGCACAAATGGGGTGCGCACACACAACCATGCTAGCATTCCCGTTCACGCACATGGCGCAAACGGTCCTAGGCACTAGTGTGAGGGGGGGGAATGCGCGCCCACTCATGCGCGCCCTGGCCAGCCATTTCTGCAGCCTGCTAGCTAAGAGCCTGCGGCCCGGTACTGGGCTGCGTCCCATAGGTTGGGGACCCCTACCATAACCCTTTTCTGATTTGCTGACCGTAATCAATTCAAGATCTTTTTGGGGTGGTTCTTTTTTTCCCATCCTGTGCTTTGATTCCATCTCTCCCATCTGACTTAACGGCAAACCGCGTTTTCCTTGGTAACCATGGTTTGCCATTAAACCTGTAGGGAAAGTGCCATTTGTTGCTAAATCCGAAGTGGCAGAAGACATTGAAACAACACAGAAGACAGGAAGAGAACAACACAAAGCTCGTTCAGTCCGCCCTAAATCACAGTGTGGTGGTTTTTGTGTGAACCGATTCAGATGTTCAAATGTGGTAGCACTTGGTTGTGTGTGAGGTAGCGGCGTGCCAGAGCTGCTACCGATCAAATTCAGAATTTCATGCAGGCCACCTTGGTGTGAAGGTAATTCCATATCTTCTCCATAGTCTTCTTTGAGATACAATGATCATCGGGCTGTCTCGAGAAGAAATGATTTCACCCTAGCCTAGGGGAACAGTCTTTCTCGACCTTGACAACTTTAAGATGGGCGGAATTCAACTCCCAGAATTCCGCCTGCTGGCTGGGGAATTCTGGGACTTGATGTCCACCCATCTCAAGGTTGCTGAGATTGGGAAATACTGCACTAGAGTAACCCACATTATGCTACTTCATCTCAGAAAGCTACGCAGGATCAGACTGGGTAGTATTTGGACGGGAGACCACCAGGAATGCCACTGTTCAGCTTACACAATTGTGCAGCGGCTTTGTGCATCGTGCAAAAGTACCATTTATAATTCCAAACTGCACAAGCCAAAAAACGCTGCGCCGCAAACTTCCTCACCTCCTTTTCCCATAGTGCATTTTTTTTGAAACTAGCCAACTTGAAGATGGGCTGGCTGGGGAATTCTGGGAGCTGACGTCTGTTCACATAAACGTCACCAAGTTTGAGAGAAACTGATTGGCGCAGGGTGTGAATCCAGCCCTTGGGTTGAACCAAACAGGAATGTCACACTGGTTTCCATCTCCAGCGACATAGCCACCTGGAGGCACCCCTTCCAAGGAAACGTTTGGAGACCCCCAAAGGCTAATATTGATGGTTTGTCACACAGTCAGCCTGATGTTCAGACTGGATTTAGCATTTGTATCCATCTATCCAGTCCTTCCCAAGGACCTGGGATGGAAGTATTGGAGTGGAGTGGAGTAGAGTAGAATAGAATAGAATAGAAGTTGGAAGGGACCTTGGAGGTCTTCTAGTCCCACCCCCCTGCTCAGGCAGGAAACCCTACACCAGGGGTTATAAAAGAGCTGAGGTTGCCTACCCCTGCTCTACACCATTTCAGACAAATGGCTGTCCAGTCCCTTCTTAAAAACTTCCAATGTTGGAGCATTCACCGCTTCTGGAGGCAGGTTGTTCCACTGCTTAATTGTTCTAACTGTCAGGAAGTTTCTCCTTAGTTCCAGGTTGCTTCTCTCCTTGGTTAGTTTCCATCCGTTGCTTCTCCTGCCTTCAGGCGCTTTGGAGAATAGCTTGACTCCCTCTTCTTTGGGGCAGCCCCTGAGATACTGGAACACTGCTATCATGTCCCCCCCCCCCTCATCCTTCTCTTCCTTAAACTAGACAGGCCCAATTCCTGCAACAGTTCCTTATATGTTTTAGCCTCCAGTCCCCTGATCATCTCTGTTGCTCTTCTCTGCACTCTTCCTAGACTGAGTCTCAACATCTGTGGTTGGCTGGGGTTCCAGATATGTCCCCAGATGTGAGCTGTTCTAGTAAAGCCGCCTTTTGCAACTGACTAATGGTAAAACTGTCAATGCAAATGACAGTTTTGCTTTATGACAGGCCTTCTGTTTTCTTTAGGATTGGCCCCAAGGCACCTTACTACTAGCGCTGCTGCTACTGCTACTACCTCGCTTGCTTTTGAATTCCTACTGCGTCGCGTTTCTCCTTCGCCTTGGTTCCGTCCAACGCAAGAGGGGACAACCTCCCCTTTTGCTTTCAGAAAACTCTACCTGTAGCACTTCTGCCTGCCGCGGAGAAAAGCAAGGCGGGGAGGGAAGCCTGCAAGCAGCCGGGCGGGGCGCAAAGGGCGAGAAGCCGCGCGCTCTCGCCTGGCTTCCTCCGCCGCGATCCAAAAGCGGGTGACGCGCCCTAGAAGGAATTTTAACCAAATTCGTCCATTTCCTTCCCGGAGGTCCGAATCCCAATCTGGGCGGGTTGCGCAACTAGGAAGCGCCCGGCCAGGATCCAGCGGCGCCCCCGAAAGCAAAAAACCGGTGGTCGCGCAACTCTTTAGCCATGCCTTTCCGGAAAGGTAAGATTCCCACGCGCGCCCAGGTGCGCCAAGGTGGGGCTTCCGCGCTCGGGTTTGGCAGGGAAGCGGACTCGGGGGGCGTGTGGGGGGGCAGTTTTCCCAGCAAAGGAGCAAAGGAACCCCGAAGTTTTGACCGGGCTCCATTTTCCCAAATCTATAAAAAAAAAAGGGGGGCTTGACTTGGCGCAAGGAATTCACTTCCTTCCCTTCTTGGCGCGGCTTTGGATCTGGAGTTGCGCAGCGGCGAGGCTGAATCAGGTTTTTGTTTTTATGAACCGAAAGAGAAAGTTCCCTTCCCTCTTTATTTTAAAGCAAAAACCAAACGAAGCAAAAGTAGCGTCGCTTGTAAAAAGCTCCCGAGTCGTAGATTTTTCTTGGAGCTGCTAGATTTCTAGATGCGGGGAGGTACGCTTTTTTTTGCCCAGCAACTTAACACGGATCCTTTCTAGCAATCGGGAGGGGGAAGGTGATAGTAAAGGTCGAGCTTTCCGATTCCTTGCGCGGAGTAGAAGAGTGTTGTGTAATCCCCGGGGAGGGGGGGGCGACTTAACTGACGATGGGTGGAAACTAATCAAGGAGAGAAGCAACCTGGAATTAAGGAGAAACTTCCTAACAGTGAGGACAATTAACCAGTGGAACGACCTGCCTCCAGAAGTTGTGGGTGCTCCAACACGGGAGGTTTTTAAGAAGAGACTGGACAATGATTTGTCTGAAATGGTGTAGGGTTTCCTGCTTGAGCAGGGGGTTGGACTAGAAGACCTCCAAGGTCCCTTCCAACTTTATTATTATTATTATTATTATTATTATTATTATTATTATTATTATTATTATTATTATTATCATCATCATCATCATCATCATCATCATCATCATCATCATCATCATCATCATTATTATTATTATTATTATTATTATTATTATTATTATTACAGTACTTAAAGGTCATTTTCAGCCCTTGCAGTTTATCTTTAACAAAAAGGAGTGTTCATTTCCTCAAATGCAATGCAAACCTTTTTTTTAAAAAAAATGCCTATGAATAACAGGAAGCAATATGGTCACACCCCAGATCCATTCTGCTGTTGGGTTCCCTCTCTTACTCTTCAAAAAAAACCAAAACCATGTTCATTTAATTAATTTTAATTCAGTTACTTGAATGCTGCTGAATGCAAGTTAGGCTTGGATTGCAAAACGATATATCCATTTTCCTGAGAAATAGTAGCTGCAGTTTAATATGTATAGGCGAGTCCTCAAAATTACGACCGCAAAGGAGAGCAGAATTTTCATTGCTAAGCAAGGCGGGTTGTTAAATGAGCCAGGGTTGTTAAGCAACCACTGCAGCAGTTGTGAAGTGATTCATGCTGTCATTAAGCCAGGGGTCTTCAAACTTGGCCACTTTAAGACTTGTGGACTTAACAGGAAGGGGGAGGAAGCAAAAGTTGGTTTGCTCACTGCTTCTCTCTCACATACTACACACTGTCTTCCTCCTGCTCACTTACAGTTTGGTGCAATTAAGCAACTAAGATGATTGAAGGGTTACAGAGTTTGGGTATGGCCTGTCTAGAGACAAGGACTGGGGGTGACATGATATCAGTATTCCAGTATTTGAGGGGCTGCCACAAACAAGAGGGGGTCAGCTTATTTTCCAAAGCACCAGGACAATAAAACAATGGATGGAAACTAATCAAGGAGAGGAGCAACCTGGAATTAAGGAGAAACTTCCTAACAGTGAGGACAATTAACCAGCGGAACAGCTTGCCACCAGAAGTGTTTTTAAGAAGAGACTTGTCTGAAATGGTAGAGGGTCTCCTGCTTGAGTAGGGGGCTGGACTAAAAGACCTCCAAGGTACCTTCCAGCTCTAATCTGATCCTGATTCCATAGCTAATCAGAAGCCCTGTTGTTGGAATTTTCTTTACATTTCCCATTGCTTGACTCACACTGGGGGTTCCCTGTCCAGACAAGCCTTCCGTAATGTTGACAAACACACTCTTTTGGTATGTGCTAATATTAGGATCCACGTGCACACGAACATTCTCTCCTCCTCGCTTTTGCTCACCCACCCAGATCTGGAAAAGGGTGTTTCCTTTTTCTGCTCAGAGTACAGATGCTCCTGGACTTACAACAGCTTGTTACTGACTGTTCAAAGTTACAATGGCACGGAAAAAAGTGACTTATGAGACCGCTTCTGGACTTTGTGCTTGAGGCGGAAAAGAATGAAAGTTTG